AAAAAAAAAAAAAAAAATGGAAAAAATGAAGAAGTGTGATACTTAAATGAGAAATTATACATTATAAATAAAAACAAGTATGATGGTTCTCTCTAACTATATTATTTTTTTAAAACAAAAAATAACTAAAATAACATAATAACAAGGAACCCCTTCTTCCCGCTCCCCTTTTCACCTTCTACCCCATTTTCCCCTTTTCTCCTAAATAGAAAAAATAAATAAACTAAAAATAATAAGAAGATCTCTCAAACCTTCCTCTCCCATGGCAGCTTCTTCCTCCAACTACAAAGGCCCGAACCCGATCCCAAACCCAAACCAGTCATTCATAGTGTTTGACCCGAACTCTATCTGTACCGCCCCAATGATTTTTAAAGAAAATTCTGGACTTTTCCAAAAATCAAGGTAAATTTTTCGAAACTCATTTTATGATATTAACCATTTAACGGTGTTGCTCAAACATTTCACATAAACAGTCCAAGTCATATATGAACTTACGGGAACTCATTGTCCAATTAATCACATAGGAAGTCATTGTCCAAATAATCACATAGGATCTCATTATCTAAATACATATATCACATGCGATATCAATCAACACATAATATCATAATCATAATCCAAATCAATCCATAAAGTAAGCATGTTCAATGTTTGTCCTATTTTTGTTGTGTTTTTCGTGTTTATTTTATCTTTCTTTTTCCCCTGCTTTAGGTCGTTTCTTTAGTTTTTAGTCCGTTTCATGTTTATTATATTTTTTCCTTCATTTTGAGTTTTTAGGTGGTTTTCGTTTGTTTTTCTGGTTCTCATTTGTGTTTTGTCGTTTTTGGTGTGTAGGTCGGGAACTTCGGGCAGATTTTCTCTTCAAGAAAAATTGGTTTCGAGAACATCATTGGATTGATGGGTTCGGTAGCGAAGCGCAGGGAAAAACGGAACTCAATTCTAAGTTCGGACGAGCTCAAACGAGGCAAAAACACAAAATAGCGCACTGCAGCCCAGAATCTCGCGACTCGCGAGCACAAAGTCGCGAGAGTGCAAGTCGCGACTCGCGAGCGCAAAGTCGCGACTTGCGACTTTAACAGAGCTTCCCAGCGCCCCACGACCCGACAGACTCACGACTCGTGAGTCAACTCGCGAGTC